ATGATTTATTTACTGAGTTATTGAATTACACTTGAAGTCACTTGAGGGATATACATGCAGGTGTAGCTGTGTGCTGCAGATGCCTCAAGTGAAGAACTGTCATGCGTGTAAGAGCCAAATTTTGTATCCAAATCTATTTTTGTTTTCAATGTCAGGCATTAAACTCAGGTTCTCTGCTTACTTGAAGATATCACCAGCATATTATGAGAAACCCTGAACTTCAGCTTATGGAAAGGTTTCCAAGAAACATTACTTCTTGGAATGTGCCTGCATTTTACATTGGACCATCACTGGACATAGCCAGGATCCAAAATTTACCCCTTCCTAAGTAATAGGCAGGAGTCAGGATTGCTGTTTTCAGCTCTTCTGCTGTCAAATGGTGCTTGCAGAAAGGCAAAAGGCAGTCCTCATCTCATGTTCCTTAAGAACACACTTTCACCAACAAAAGCTCACACACATCCCACTTTAATCACAGCAGTCTACCCTTTCTGTACCACTGGTGCCCACCTATCTACTTATCTGCAGAACTAGCTACTATATAATATCTACATATAAAACCCTGCATATCATGGTGCCACACATTCTTGACCGATGATGTCATCATGATACTTTTATGAGGTAAGATGGGTTGATCTTATGAGCAGGGATTAGTGGCAGAGAGAACTAATGCCCAGGTCTTCAAAGTTGTCTATGTAAACACCTGCCACCAGTTTCCATAGGAGCTGTGTCAATTAATGTCTGTGATAAGCTGAGCATAAGTGAATTGGTGATGTTCTGGTCCTGAGAACAGCCACCTTGTTACTGACACAGGTTCTTGCATCTGCAAGAAATTCAATGTTGCTATCTGCGACATCTATCTGAATATTGCCCCGTTTTGAGGAGGGGGAATCTCTCGGAGCCATGTTAGATGCTGTTTGTCAGTTGTATCATATATCAGGAACTGCAGCGAGGAAAGAGATTTTCTGCTAAATAGAACAGCTCCAGCCAGTTCTATCTGCCTGAAAGTACTTCCATAAAAAACAACAGGACTCACATAAAACAACTCTGAAACTACTGAGGATGTCTGCAGTCATGGAAACACTTCTTAGCAATACCCTCAGAAAATGAGAAAGTAGTGCTGAAAAGAAGCATTGAGACATTGTTCTAGAATAAACGTGCCTGGATAGAGTGCCACGAAGGGGATATAAAAACAAATTTTTATATGAAACTAGAATTCCACTTTAAAAACACCAGGCTTCCAGGGAGCACTGTGCATAATGAAATAGATGAGGTTTGAGAGCTACCTCCTAGCTATCTCCCCTGTCAGGGGACCTTTAGATAGCTAAGTAAAGAAAAATAACAGACTGCTACTAAAACATAACAAGACAGCTAGTTAGGTTCAAGCATATCCTTTCATGCAGTGCACAACAGTGTCCTCCTAGAAGTGCAGGCAGACACCAGTTCACTCTGCCTGTTAAGCAGGTTTGTTAGCGCTCGTCCGCCAGTTGCGCCAACTCTGACTACATGACTTCTTGTTTGGAGCTGGCTTGCACATGGCTTGCTTGAAGCACACTGGAGTGAGCTCAGGTCTGCCTGAAAAGTAGAATCATAGAGTTACAGATTCACAGAATGGTTTGGGTTGGAAGGGACCTTTCAAGGCCCTCTAGTCCAACCCCCTGCAGTGAGCAGGGACATCTTCAACCAGACCAGGTTGCTCAGAGCCCCGTCCAACCTGACCTTGAATGGTTCCAGGACATGTTGTACCACATAGACAGACCTTCAAGTCAGTCTACAAGTCAAATAAGGGCCAATGAGATAATGAAAGCAACAGGAAACTTCAGAAGCACACCTGGAAAAGCACTAAGCTGCAGTATTAAAAGGTTCAAAGTTAAAAAAAAAAAAAAAAAAAAAACCAAACA